AAAAAAAAAATTAAAAAAAAAAAAAAAAAAGCATGTCTCATCCCCATTCGGGAGCAGGCCAGCCTCGGGGGGGGAACTTGAGGGCCTCTCTCTGAAAGCCCAATGGAAAGGCAGCAGCCTCTGCAATCTGCGCTGTCTTGGTCGGTCCAGCCTGCTGTGACAAAGCGCCACAGACTGGTACCCATCGTGAAGATGAGTAGGACTGGCTGGTTGGAAATACCCAGAGCACCCGGAAGGCGCGGCATATACCGGCAGATGTTGGATCTTAGGGACAACTCGGGTTTGATCGCTGTGATTCAGATAGCGTTCTGGGCGGTACGTTGGGTTGTCAGAGCCCAGACCGGGGACCGAAACACGGAGAAGCCTGCAGAGCCGTTCAGGAGGAGCTGGCCTCCCACCTCACCTCCTCTCAGTGGCCATTTCTTCCCATCTATTGGCCCCTTGTGGCACAGCCACAGCTCGGTGCGGGCCACATCTGTGATGGCCTCCCCAGTCCCCGGCTCCCCTCTCGCAGGCAGCCGGCTTGTACCTCTCTCTGGCAATTCTGATTCTGCCTTGAATGGGGGGGGGGGGGGGTATTCATCCCATCACTTACCTGCCACGGCGGCACAGAGCCAAGTCCGGGACGTGGCAGAGATTATGCAGAAGCCCCCGTGCAGGAAACTGCCATGACGCCTGGTGAGTGTCACAGCTGACGTCCCCAGGAGTCCCGGTGAAGGCTCCGAAGTTGTGTGCGCATCCGTCTCCCTGACCCGTCTCTAGTCTCCTTGAGGGCGGGGACTGTGCCGCGTCCATTTGTCCAGCTCTGTCAACCACCATTTCCTGAGGGATCCCGCAGCTTCCAGAGAATCCTCCAGAGGAAGAGGTGAGATGAGAGAGAACTTGAGTCTCCTTGGGAAATTCCAGGCAGAGCCAAAGTCCCCAGACTCACAAAGGAAGTTCCCTTCCCCCACCCTCCCCTCAATGCCACTAAGATAGTTGTGATGGAATCCATGGGACCACCCTCCCGGAACTGCCCCACTCCCCACTGGGAATCACTTTGTAAGTACTGCGTGACTCCTGACCATAGGTGACTGGCCAGGGATTGGCACTGAGCCACACTGGACCACAGACAGCCCTTTCAGGGATCCTTGAAATGAAAACTGAAAAAGGGGCGCCTGGGTGGCTCAGTCAGTTGCGCGTCTGACTCTTGATTTTTGTCTCAGGTTGGGGTTTCCTCCTTCTCTCTCTCTCTCTCTCTCTCTCTCTCTCTCTCTCTCTTAAAAAAACAAAAAAAGCATCTAATATCTTGGAATAAGGCAGAGAGCGTTCCAGGCAGCCGCATTTCTGTCCATGAGGGTATGTCAGAAGTGGAGGAAGCTGGTGGACAGGAAGGACAGTGAGAAGCAGAACGCGAGGGGAATGTGTGGGGAGGCCTCGTGAGCCCCTCGTGTCATTGGTTCCTGAAGTCCGCCTGCACCTTTGCCGAGGTCCTCCAGCCCCTACTCAGTCCCTCTCCTCCTTACACAGGGTCCACTTGGACCTTTGTCACTTGCAACCCACAGCACCCCGACGAACGGCGCAATCCAGCTCTGAGAAGTCTCTCCACCGGGGAGATCTTCTCTGCCCTAGCCTCCCCCTTCCTCCAAACCACCCTTCCTCATGGATGGCACCAGTGACTGCACTGGGAGGCAAGCTGTGTTCTAAGACGACGTTGACAAATAAAACGAGCCTGTAAAGGCAATGAGAGGTGGCTAGGAGAGCTCCAGGGCGGGGTGTCTGTGAGAGAATGTGCGAGCCATAGACTGGTCGGATTCTAAAGTCCGGGCTGGAAAGAACAATGAACAAATAATGTATCTTCGTTCTTTTTATACCGCTGCTGTGCAGCGAAAGCATTTATTAACTAGAGAAGGAGATAAACCTGATCGCAGGTATCAGTATGGGAAATCTAGTCACCAGCCTGGGTCCTCGTTATAAATAATGGATATTTAAATGCATTGCTATTCCCTTTAGTGGACCATGGGCAACTCCCTAGTATCTGTATCTCTCCTCCGTCATCTGGGAAAGGCCATGCGGTTTGGGGTTTGCTGCCACCTCCAGGGACAGGTCTGAGGTTAATCACACCTAGCATGTGTTTTAGTAGTGCTCATGTGACCCAGTTCTGGCCAGTGAGACTCCAGGAGAGGTTTGCCAGAGGCTTCTGAGAAAGTTCTTTCATGTACTTGAGAAAGAGAGAGAGAGAGGAGAGGACAGCCTACTCTCACTTTCCCCAGTGGGACATGAACGAGGGAGCAAGGAGCCTTGAGGCCCGTGACTGTCACCCTGTAGCCACAAGGGGACCCAGCCTTACAATGAGACTGGCACGGGTCCCTGATGTCATGACTGAGGCTCTGGATTAACCCACTCTGAGAAGAGGAGCTACTAAATTTCCTTACTCTCAGGTCACTTGGAGTAGACCATCGTGTGATGGTCAGCCCTGAGCTCGTCCTCATCGATGGAAGGAAGTCCCCCTAACGGGAGGCAGACCGCTCAGTGGTTAGCAGCTTAGTGTCTGGAGGAGGAGAATTCTGAGGGCCAATCCCAGCTCTGCCATTGGATGCCCGTGGAAACTGGGCAATTTGCCCAACCCTTTGAGCCTCAGTTTATTCATCTGTACAACGGGGCCATCAGTGTTCCTGTGGTGGTTATTTGCCACGTTGGGCTATGGAGAATCCAGCCCTCCCCGCCACCAACCGACATTCAAAACTCCTTTTGGGGACTCCCCAATGGGCATTATTGGTGCTTGAAAGGCAAGATCTTTTGTTCCTCCCCTGGCCCGGCCAAATGGCAAGTCTTTTTTTTTTTTTTTTTTTTTTTTTATTTAGTAAACTCCACTAGAACCCAATATGGACCTTGAACTCACAACCCCAGGATCAAGAGTCGTATGCTCTATTGACTGAGCCAGCCAGGCCCCCCAAATGGCAGGTCTTGATGTAAGCCCAGCATATCCTGATCGAGTGGACTCGGAGGGGATTGGTCAGCAGAGCCGGCACACAGAACAGCCTTCCCTTGCTGCCTGGTCCTCTGGGATCCACCGTGCCCCTGCCCCTTGCCGCAGCCTTGTGTTTCAGCCCTCCAACCACTCTGGAAGCCCCAGTGTCCTTCCCATAAACTCCGTCCTTCTGGAATAGCAGGTTGGCTTCGGTTGATTGCAGCGAAGAACACTGCCATATAAAAGGGCCTTCTTTGTAAGGCTGCTGCAAAGCCTATAACTGAGATTGTACTTGTAAAGCGTTTCAGTGAATGCCTGGCTCAGCGCATGTAGCCATTGAGATTATTACGGACTCAGATGGCCCCATGAAGGGATGATCTGAGTTAAACACAAGGTTTTAATTGACCAAAAAAGGGTACACAGAATCCTAGTTGCCGAATTGGCAACCTTCCCTCCACACGCAGGCTCTGGCTGCTTGGGGTCTCCCGCCTGCCATATTCACCATGAATTGGCAACACTCGGTGAACACAACAGAATGAAGACACAGACCATCCAAAGGCCAAAATACCACGCAAACAAGAGTGCTGAGTGACGACTTCGGCGACCGGTGTCCTTTACCCAGAGTTTGCTAGCCGTAACGCGAAAACCACGTTATAGCCTCGGGGCCCCACGGCCAACAGACCGCCTGAGGAAGCCAGGGCAGCGAAGGACGGGGCTCTAGGGCAGAGGTCAAGACCAGATCTGGAGTTCAAACAATCATCCCACCGCGGGCGCGTTCTGCGACCGCTTGCTCTGCCTGGCCTCCTGGCCGCCAAGCACGCTTTGAAGTAGGAGGAGAGGCTGCTTCTTACCTGACACGGGGTAGTAGGAGTCAGGTGAGGGCATGTGACTTTACTTTGTAATCTGGTACCTTCCGGGAATCAAGCGATCCCTTGCCACCAACAGCAACGTCATCAACGGCATCGTCATCTCCCGCCTGACATTCATAGAGCCATCGCTAAACCCCAGGGACGGGCTACACGTTTTATACACATTAGTCCAATAGATCCTTCCAACGACCTACGAGGCCAGGTACTATTATGGTCATTAATAGACTGAGACTTGCAGAAACGGAGGCGCTTGACCTGGCCCTTAGCCACTCAGCTGTACAGCCCGATCGCCAGGAAGGCCCCTCTCCCCATCACCCCACTCACCCCTCCTGACTCATTTCAGGCAGCCTTATCCTCCACAGACCTTTCTCTCTCTGCAGGCTGAACAGCCACAGACAGAACTTTTGCTAAAGTGCCTTCACGTTTTTACTTGGAAGATGGGTTTTATGCCCCGGTTGCGGCCGATGGCAGATCCTGTCTCTTCTACATTATTAACTCTCATGTACATGCCGTAAACATGTCCCCTCGGGGCTGATGGCAATATATTGATCCAGACTGTTTAATCCCACACGCCAAGTCAGAGGAGCGGGTACGCGCTCTCCCCCGTGAGTGTGGCCTGTGGGCTCCAGGCGTGTAAATCTCCCCGCACACCCCACGGCTGGGGGGACCCAGAAAATAAAGGATTATTTATGAATGGGATCCTCAGGTGTTCCGCCCCAGGTGAATGGCTTTCGGGCCCAGCGAATCAAGGGTGGAAGAAGGAATCACGGCCACACCACTTTGATGAGGAAAACAAATCAGAAGACGCATGCATCTTTCTGAAAGGTCACTGTGCCTGCAGACCTGGCTTGTCTCTGTGGGGGCACAGCATGGCGATCGGAGGGAGGAAGCCGTAAGGACCATCATGTATACTGTCACCATGGGGGGGAGGGGGCAGCCGCAGCCCCCAGTACCACACTGGGGGGGCTGTACTGCAGCCCCTGAGTTTTTCCCTTCTCTCCCCTTCCCCCAGGGAGGTGGGACACAGCCGATCAATAAGCTGCGCGGATGGAAGCGCCTGCAGCACGGTCGTTTCTCAAGTCAGACCCAGATGGCACCTATCACTCGCCGTAAAAGGCTGCCAGAGACAGAATCAAGGCTCATCCCGTCGTGGGGCCCGCCCGTCTCTGCCTCTGTGATAAACGTCTTCTGCCTCCCGCACGAGCTTGCAGCAAAGAAACCATTTCCAGGATGCAACACGCCGCCTGCCTGGCACCTGCCCGCCACCTGCCCGCTGACGTTTCCTTGTGCTGTGAAACAGCCTTCCCCGGGGGTCCCTGGCGCTGGCCGGGCCATCCCCAAGGGTTGCCCCCACCGCCCCATTTTATTCCTGCGCGTTGGCAGGAGAGCAGAGCCCCCAGAGCCTGCTGCCGGAGGGGTTCGGGGCGGCTTCCCGCTGGAGGGACCCACGTGCTGCCGAGAGGCATTCCAAATTCAATTACTCCAGGGAGGCCACACCTCATTAGGCGTGCCTCGGCTTTTGGAGAGGAAAAGGTGTTTTTCTGCCAAACGAGTTGTCTAGCGTGCGTTCTTCTTCTTCTGTCTTGGGGGGGGGGGGGGGGGGGGGGGGGAGCCAAGACTGGCTGTTGCAGCCAAGGTGGCTCTAAGCACTTTGCTTCCTCCTGCTGATCCGAGCCAGAGAGAGACGGGCAGTGGCCAAAGCGCTCAGGGCCTAGGTCTGAAATAGACAGCACAGGCACACACCCAGAGGGGCTCTTGGCTCCCTTCCTCCCTCCACGTGTTGGACGGGAAAACCAAAATCCACGCCCCCCCCCCCCGACCCCGGACCCACAACACCCTCACTGTACCAGGCAGAGGGGTAAGGTGCGGGGATGGCCGGGAGCTCGCTCCCACCGGCCTTGGTTTGAACCCACGGCCCCAAGAGGCTGTTGGCCTTGAAAGTTAGGAAAATAACACACGGACGGGGCACCTGGGCGGCTCAGTCGGTTACGCGTCCGACTTCCGCTCAGGTCGCGATCTCGCGGTTCCCGGG